CTCCAGCGCCAGCACCCTCAGCAGCTCCAGAACCTCCAGCTCCAGCGCCACCAGCGCCAGCACCTCCAGGAGTAGAGTCACAAGCTCCAGCACCTCCCGCAGCAGGGCCCCCAGCTCCAGCAGCGCGACCCTGACGGCCAACGTACCACTCACGCAGCTGCTGTGGGGAGAGAGGAAGGAGGCGACGAGAGTGCAGCGGCGAGGCACCAGCGGAGCGACTACGGAGACGGCCGCTCCAGGGAGACTGCTCACCAGACGCCTCAGCACCCCTAGGCGCAGTACCCCCAGACTCAAAACCGCCAGACTCAGCACCCCCAGACCCCTCACACGCAGGCTCAGCACCTTTAGGCTCCACACCCTCAAGCTCCGCACCCCCAGGCTCAGTACCTCCAAGCCCAGCACCCCCAGGCGCCGCACCCCCAGGCTCAGCACCCCCAGGCTCAGCTCCCCCAGGCTCCACGCCTCAGCGCCCCCAGGTGCAGCACCCCCAGACTCAGTACCCCCAAGCTCAGCACCCCCAGACTCAGCACCCTCAGGCTCCGCACCCCCAGGCTCAGCACCCCCAGGCTCTGCACCCCCAGGCTCAGCACCCCCAGAAGTAGCACCCCGAGCAGGACCACCCGCAGCAGGACCTGAGTCACCAGTGACCTCAACCGGCGCAGTCAAGGGAGGAGGGTCAACCTGAGACACACCTGAAGGAGCAGGACCGGGAGCGGGGAGGGGGTCTACCTGGGGAGCACCTGGAGCGAGAAAGAGCGGCAGGGGGGGGGGAGAGGGGCAGTGCGGTAGGGGAAGAGACGGTAAAAGGGAACCGACTCGTCGAACGTGACGTCCTGAGATGCAAAGACACGGCGCGAGGTGGGGTGGTAAAACTGCCAACCAGGCGCGTCAGGGACAAAGCCAAGGAAGACACAGGGAACAGCATGGGCAGAGAGCTTGTCCGCGGTGGTATCGTGGACAAAGGCACGAGCACCCCAGACCCGGAAACGCGACGCATCGCCAACCTTCCCCGTCCACAGCAGCGTGGGCGAGGTCTCCGGCAAGGAGACACGGGGCCAGAGGTTGAGCTGATGCGCGGCGTACCGGACTGCAAACGGCCACAGAAAATGGGGGGCAGCCGCATGGATCATGGAGGTACGAGCGACCTCCATGACTAAGCCAATGCGGCGCTCAGCAACCCCATTCTGCTGCGGAGAGGCCGGAAGCGTGAACGACTGGGTGATGCCGTGCTCCGCACAGTAGGCTGCCAAGAGGTCTGAGGTGAACTCACCGCCTCTGTCAGAGTGCAGACGCAGGACAGAAAAGTCCCGCTGGAACCGCTCGCGGAGCTGGAGACGAACAGCGCGGATCCAAGGGATCAAAACATCAGGGACCTCCCCCTTGCTGCGCAAGGGGAAGACCATGGTGTAACGCGTGTAGTCGTCGACGACCAGCAGGAAGTACCGCTCGTGGCCCGGTCCGCGGACGAACGTGGGCTGGGCCCCACACGTCCAGGTGGAAAGTCTGCAGGGGAGCCTCTGTAAGAGGGAACGAGGAGGAGTGAGGAGCGGCGCGCTGCCGCCCCTCGACACAGGGAAGACAGGGAGGAGCAGGCGAGGGTGGGAGGGGAGGGAGAACCCTGGGAAGACCAGAGACAAGGACACGGCGGTGCATGCTACGAAGGCGCTGCACCGAGGGGTGACCAAGGCGGTGGTGCCAAAGGAGGGTCTGGTGCGACAAAGCGCGACACGAGCAGGGGGCCGCCAGCTGACCTGACGCAGACGCAGACGCAGCTACCTGAGGGGCCACTGTGGTCAGTGTGTACAGACTCGAGCCAGGCGCACGGGTAAACGTGGCCAGGTGTCGGCCCGTCCGAGCACACGTACAGTGAGTCACTCGCTGACTCGCAGGAGTGAACTGGTTAACCCCACCATCCTGAAGGTCAGCTCCACTCACCAAGTTCGTAGAGAACGAGGGGAGGTAGAGACCTGACAGCGAGCCAGACGGGGCGGCCGGACACGGCAGAACCGTGGAGTAGTGGGCAAGGACAGGACCCCCAGAGGGGTCCGCCAGGGAGACTGCAACTGGCCGACTAAGCGGCGTGAGTGTGGTGCAGTCGCGAAAGAAGGAGCGGGAAGCTCCTGAGTCAAGGGTGAAGGTGTGCAAGACCGTAGTAGGCGCAGTACCTGAGAGAGCAGACTCACCAACGCCTGAAGCAGCAGCCTCACCAGTACCTAGAGCAGGAGACGCACTAGCACCGAGAGCAGCAGCCTCACCAGCACCTAGAGCAGCAGACTCACGAGCACCTAGAGCAGCAGCCGCAATAGCACCAAGAGCAGCAGGGTCTATACCTGGGTCAGGCGGTACGCACAGGTAACAGGCACCGTCCGTACTAGTAGGCAATGCATACATGGCAGTGAGAATAGCATCATAGTCAAGAGCAAAGATATCTACCCTCTGCCTAAGCAGCTCCAGCCAGGTGGGGAGCTCAGCGTCATCGCCAAACTTGGTACGCCAAGCGTCGCTCAGACGGGCGAAGCAGCGGGACTGTGTGTGACCAGGCGTCCCGCAAGCCTGACCAGTCCGAGCACCTGTGCGAATGACGTACGGGCAGCGAACGGTACTATGAGACCCGCTACTCTGGGCGTACCACTCATGAAGCAGTTGGGGCGAAAGTGTCTCGCGCGGACGCCGCTGCAGCTGCAGCTGGCCACTACCAGACACTCCCGACTGCCCAGCTGCAGTGCGATGGCCACGACGGCTACCGCCACAACCCCAACTAGCGTACCACTCACGAAGCTGCTGGGGCGTGAGAGACTCGCGCGGACGGCACTGGAGCTGCATCTGGCCACCGCCAGGAGCAGCACGGGTAGTAGGTGCAGCAGCGCAGCAGGCAGGCAGGCAGGCAGGCAGGCAGGCGGCGCAGCAGCGTGCTCACCGGTGGCAGGGAGGGCCGGCGCGTGGCGGGCAGCGGGGCCGCAAACCTGGCTGCAGAGGAAGGCCACGTCAGCTGCAGGGTGGGGCAGTGTCGGCGGCAGTGGTAGGACGGGGCCGCATCGTCGGCAGTGCGGGGCCGTTACCCGGCGAAGCCGCTACGGCGGTAGGGCGAGGTCGCGCGGGCCTAAGGGCACCGTGACGGGTAGGCAGGTGACCGGGCGCGGGCTGTAGGGCAACGCGACGGGCAAGAAGGTGGCCGGGCGCGGGCTTAGGGCGACGCGACGGGCAGGCAGGGGGCCGGGCGCGGCTTAGGGCAACGCGTCTGGCAGGCAGAGGGCCGAGCGCGGGCGTAGGGCAACGCGACGGGCAGGCAGGGGGCCGGGCGCGGGCTTAGGGCGACGCGACGGGCAGGCAGGGGGCCGGGCGCGGGCTTAGGGCGACGCCAACGGTGGCAGAGGGCCGGGCGCGGGCTTAGGGCAACGCGTCGGGCAGGCAGGGGGCCGGGCGCGGGCTTAGGGCGACGCGACGGGCAGGTAGGGGGCCGGACGCGGGCCTTAGGGCGACGCGACGGGCAGGCAGGGGGCCGGGCGCGGGCTTAGGGCGACGCGACGGGCATGCAGTGGGGCAGGCGCGGGCTTAGGGCGACGCGACGGGCAGGTTGGGGGCCGGGCGCGGGCTTAGGGCGACGCGACGGGCAGGCAAGGCAGGGCGCGTGTGGGGCAGCGCGGTAACCGCAGGTAGGCATGCGTTCGGTGGGCCCAAGAACGGTCCTAACGGACGAACTGCTCTGATACCATATCAGAATGTCTAGGCGAGAATGAATGAACTAGCAGCATGCAGGAGTACAAGTAGTAAACCCTAATTGGGTTGTACCCCATATGGGCTACCCCACTACAGCCTACACAAGTATAACATGCATAGTTTGACACATTGTTCTTACCAGAATTTAGCCCTGCAAAGATCCTAAGGGCTTTTTCTCAGCCCAACAGAGAGGACCATGCCTCAAGGACCAAAGTCCCCAGGTTAGCCATAAGATGCTAGAAGCATTATCAGTTGTGTTGCACGTGGTGCCAACTCCATTGACTCGTTCTGTTGCAATCATAATGCCACATTTTTATTACAATTGATATAAGCTGGATCATTGTACTTATCTATTGAATGATTGTGTTCCCACAACGTTTGTACATCGTAGAGCTATGATGAGAACAACTGACTGTATAAGAGTACTGGGGTAAGTAAAAACAGTTTGAAGGCCATTGCAAATATATTTGCTTTGCGGTTAACGAATCTGCAAAAATCGCATCTCTCTTCTTTCTGTTCGCTTTCGCGCCATTCTCGGTGGACTGGTTTGGGATGCGAGATGGAACCCTAGTTCCTCCGGAGCACATTAGTAGAAACAAACGTGCAAGGCGCGTTACCTTCAGTCACCTTGTGACGCAGGCTTTGTCTCAGTCGCGTTTAACCGCGGCGACTTTTGCACTCTATTGACGATGACGGAACGGAATCATTCTTTGAGTAGCCTTGGTCTAATCTCACGACGGCAAGTCTGTCAAGTTCTACCATCATCCCAGTCAACACATCAGCAGACCCCTTCATTTCGTGGACGAACACCTTCCTCATGCTCAGGCAGCGGGAGAGCTTAGCGGAAATGCGACTCGAATTTGTTTTTCGCTGCCCCGTATTCTCGTCGTCCGAAGCGAAAGAGTCGCTGCTGCTGTCCTGCGACATCGAAGTTCCGCTCCCAAGCCTCCGAAGGTTCGGCTCCAACCAAACCAAAGCAGATCATCCCCCCCACTATGTGTTTCGGAGTGTTTGCTCTTCTCGGTTCGGGCAGCGGGCTCGCCTCCTCCGGATCCTCGAGAATTGCTCTTCGCCAGTTGAGCTTCATCCACTCTTCTCTCCGCCTTGGAAACTCCTTCCTGAACACTACAAAGCCCACCTGTCCTCGTCATTCCCACCACCACAGTAATTGCAATCCCAATTTGCCTTCGACTCTCGGACTCAGCTTCTAGCTCCTCGAGGCTTCGATCTGCTTCAGGTTTTAGCTTCGCCTCGCGTTTCGCCGGTGCGATTAGCCTACCGCTATGGCATCTCGGATTCCCCCGTCTCTTGCTGGATCTGCGCGCCGCGCTAACATCTTGAAGACGTGGCGGCACGCGATTGCAGTGCGCGTAGGACGCTTTAACGAGGAAGATAAGTGCGCTGTGCGCTCCCCCCGTGCGTCGCTCGGCTTCTCCCCTCTGCGACCCAAGCCCGTGGCTAAGCCGCCCAGCAAGAAGCCCAGGCCCAGGGATGTGATGGGTACCGCTACTGCTGTGAAGTCCAGAGCGGTGGAGAGGGGTCAAGCGACCGTCGCTGCTGCAGCAGCCAAAGCCGCGCCAGCCAAGGCGACGCCGGCTAAGGCGACGGAAGCTAAGCCGACGCCAGCTAAGGCAACGTCAGCTGAGGTGACGCCAGCCAAGGCGACGCCAGCTAAGGCGACGCCAGCTAAGGCGACGCCAGCTAAGGCGACGCCACCTAAGGCGACGCCAGCCAAGGCGACGCCAGCTAAGCTGACGCCAGCTAAGGCGATGCGTGCTAAGGCGATGCCTGCTATTGTGACGCCAGCGACGCCTGCTAAGGTGACTCAAGCAAGCCATACTGCCACGGTGAAGGCTGCAGGTGCAAGCAGCCCAGCAGCAACCGCAGCCGCAACAGCTCCTCTCACCCTGAAGGCGGTTCTTGTTGGCGGCACTGGAATCCCTAGACCTACAAGCAGCGCGTCAACAAGGGCTTCAGTAGGAGCGACGGGGAGTGGCATTCCCAAGCCAGGGAAGATAGAAGCCAAGTGATAGAGTGCCAAAAAAAAAAAAAAAAAAAAAAAAAAAAAAACGGCAGCAGCAGCAGCAGCAGATGAGATCCAGGGCGTGTTCAACGTGTATGTGAAGGGTCGTGTGTCGTGGGTGAGATGGCATGGCTGGTGGGGGCTAGAGGGAGGTGCATGGAGGGACTTACCCCTTTTTCCACCCTGCTTGCAGGGTGTTGTGGGAGAGATGGGAGGAGAGGTGGAGGAATGTGGTGAGCTGGAATGGGGAGGCATGGCATGAGGGGGAAGAGCATGCCCTTGGATCGGAATGCTCATGCTGACTGTGTGATTGAGGGGAATGCTCATGCTGACTGCGATCTGTTGCTGCACCGTGCACCTGCTTGGCTAATGAATAGTAGAAATAAGTTCTAAATATCATCATTTAGGTTTAAGCCCTTTGTTCTAGGTCTGTAGCTTGTAGTCGTTGATGCTATATTTATGTGTACGTATGCTGTTGATGTGCATTTTGTGCTTGTGTGTTGCCACTGAGTGATTCATGAAAGGGAGGAATGGTTGGTGTAATCGTATGGATGGGTGAAGCAGGGAGAAGCAACTTGATGGTTCCAGTGGAATGCGCATGCTGACTTGGTCAGCAGAGGAGGGGTGAAGCAAGGAGAAGTGGTGAGCAGGTGTGTGTGGTGAAGAATCATCATCAGGTTTGTGTAATGACCCTCATCACCTGATGCTCCCTCATTGACGCCCTTTGTTTCATTACCTCCAGCTTCAAGCAATGTCATTTCTGTTCGGATTCGCATTTCCTTCTTGAGTTTATGTCGCACTGCCGTTCTAGTCTGCAGTAGATTCTCTCAGAATCCCCTCACGGCCTGCCCTCATTTAAGAGCATTTAATTTCATACAAAATTGCCTTGTTGTCGCGTTCTCTGAACACAATCCCGTTTACATCCTCCACGCCTCTCCTCTCATATGCATCCATATTGCTCCGCTCTCATCCGTCGCTTGCTCTTTCAAATCTGATGCTTGGAAATCAAGTAAAGGGATACCTGAAAGCATATGTCATGGAACCTGATAAACTTGTTTTTATGACATATGCTCTCATCCCTCGCTTTCAGGGGGCACGACTTGCTTACATATGCTTCTTCTGAACAAGATGATTTCATTCAGTATGTCGTGCCAAATTCATCTGCTCATCATGCTTTCCAGCTCCTGCCAATTTCATCTAGTCACAAACATATCGGTATGCAGTTCCAATCTGACCATCTTCTGATGTTAACTGTCAAACATTATATATGTTACTGCAGTGTAGACTACAGTGGGTTAGCCTTTAGGGGGTACAATACTCTGGGGTTTCCTACTTGTACTCCCAATGTTCCTAATTCAAACACTTCGCTGATTCTGACATGGTATTACGAGCCTAGGTTAGGAACCTAGGACCGTTACTAAGGGCCCACCGTTTCCGCTCGAAGCGCCCTCGTGCGCCGTCCCTTCCTAGCGCCCTCGTGCGCCTCGCTCCTAGTGCGCCCTCGTGCGCCCTTCTTTTCTCCTGAGCTGCCCGTGCGCAGCCGCTAGCAGCCCGCACGCACGACCCGTTTTTAGGTCGCGTAGCCCGCTAGCCGCCCGCGCGCAGCCCGTTTCTTCAGCGCGCGGCCCGCTAGCCGCTCACGCCGTCGTCGCCGCCCGCGCGCAGCCCGTTCTGGCCTCGCGCGGCTCTTAACGCGGCCCGCTAGCCGCTCATCGACCGTCGCACGCCGCCGCCGCGTCCCCTTAGGCCGCCGCCCGTGCTAGCCCGCCGCCGCACGATCGCCGCCGCCCGCACGCCCGCAGCAGCGGCCCGCGCGCAGCCGCACCCTAGGTGCCGCCGCGCACCGTCTCTAGGCCCGCCGACGCGCCGCCCTACCTGACCGAGCCGCGCCGCCCCACCTACAGCAACTGCTGTCCCTATTCCTACTGCTGCTACTGCTACTGCCACTATGGACAGTCCTACTGTTCTCACTTTTGACGCTGAGGGCCGTCCGATTAAGTTCGATGTTTGGCTCGATGACCTCCACCTGTACCTCCAGATCACTGCCAAGGATGATGTTTCCCTTAATGACCACACGTCCGGCGCTGCTCCCGCACCTGCTGCTACTGCTGACAGTACTGCTCGCTCACAGTGGCAGACCCGTGACGCTCATGCTCGCCTAGCCGTTCGCAGCCACCTGCCGTTAGATGAGCGCGAGCATTTTGGCCAGCATAAGACCGCCAAGGAGCTGTACGATGCTGTCGTTGCACGCTACTCCTCCCCTGCTACTGCTGCGATAGGCCGTCTCTCGCTGCCGTACCTCTTCCCCGATCTGTTCGCCTTTGCCACCGTAGCTGACCTCATCACTCACCTCCGTACTAGTGATCTTCGCTACCGTGCCGCGCTTCTCCCCGATTTCCTAGCCAAGAACCCTCCCCCGATGTACCTCACACTCTACCACCTAGTCACCCGCCTCCCTGATTCTCTTCGCACTGTCAGGGACCACTTTCTCGCCCTCTCCCCCACCGACCTCACTGCCGACCTGCTCGAGAAGGAGCTCCTAGCAGCTGAGAAGAGCATTGTAGCTGTAGGTGCCTCTCGTGGCGACCCTCGCACTCCTTTCTTTGAGGGGTGCTCCCCCGTCCCCCTCCTCCCCTCCATTGCATCTGCTGCTGCTGTCGACTACCTCGGTGCTGAGGGGGTCGGGGCTGCGTCTGCTCCTGGTGGGAGGCGCAAGGGCGGTAGGGGCAAGGGGAGCAGGGGTGGCGGAGGTGGTGGCGGGGGCGGCGGGGGTGGAGGGGGCGGGGGTGGCGGCAGTGGTGGGAGTGGTGCTGGTGGTGGGGGGGTCAGTGGCGGAGCTGAAGGTGGTGGCGGCGGCGGTGGTGGGGGGGGGGGGTGGTGGTGGCAGTGCTAGCGGCGGTGGAGCTGGTGGCATGCGCGGTGGAGCGGTGCAGCGTGGGGGGTCTGGGGGTGGAGGTACCTGCACGTACGTTATTCGCACAGGTGACCGCACTGGCCAGACCTGTGGGAGGTTCCATACGGCGCAGCGCTGTTTCTTTCGCCTCGACGACGCCTGGCGCGAGCAGTTCCCTGACGCCTCTGAGCTGCCCCGCTGGGCTGATCTGCTTGAAAAGAACATTAATATCTTTTCTCTTGATTTTGATGCTATCCTTGCTGCTATGTATGCATTGACTATTAGTGTTGAGGGTGACTGTTACCTGAGTGTACCGCCCGACCCGGGTATTGGGACCAGTGAGGCTGCTGCTCTAGGTACTAGTGTGTCTGCTGCCCTAGGTCCTGGTGAGGCTGCTGCTCTAGGTGCTAGTGAGTCTGCTGCTCCAGGTGCTCGTGCGTCTGCGCCTGCTGGTACTGCGTCTACTGAGGCACTGCACACCTTCACACTGGACTCGGGTGCTTCCCGCTGTTTCTTTCGTGACCGCACTGTCCTTGAGCAGCTAGCTCGGCCGGTTGCTGTCTCCCTCGCTGACCCCTCTGGGGGCCCGGTCCTTGCGACCTCCTCCACTGTCCTCCCTTGTCCTGCGGCCCCGTCCGGCACTCTGTCGGGTCTTTACCTCCCCTCGTTCTCTACGAACTTGGTGGCGGGCTCTGCTCTACAGGACGGGGGTGTTCACCAGTTCACCCCTGCCTATGAGGGCAGTTCACCACTATACGGGGGTGTTCTGCCCAGTTCACCACTATACGTGTGCTCGGACGGGTCGCCATCTGGCTACCTTCACTCGGCAGCCGGGGTCGGACCTGTACACACTGACCACTGAGTCCCCTCAGGTAGCTGCTTCTGCGACTGCGTCAGGTCAGCTGTCGGCCCCCTGATCGTGTCGCACCCTGTTGCACCAGACCGTCCTCTGGCACCACCGCCTTGGTCACCCCTCAGTGCAGCGCCTTCGTGGCATGCACTCCCGGTACCTTGTCTCTGGTCTTCCCAGGGTTCTCCCTCCCCTCCCACCCTCGCCTGCTCCTCCCTGTCTTCCCTGTGTCGAGGGGCGGCAGCGCGCCACTCCTCACTCCTCCTTGTTCCCTCTTACAGAGGCTCCCCTACAGACTCTCCACCTGGACGTGTGGGGCCCGGCCCGCGTCCGTGGACAGGGCCACGAGCGGTACTTCCTGCTGGTCGTCGACGACTACACGCGCTACACCACGGTCTTCCCCTTGCGCACCAAGGGTGAGGTCCCTGATGTTTTGATCCCTTGGATCCGCGCTGTTCGTCTCCAGCTCCGCAAGCGGTTCCAGACGGACTTTCCCGTCCTACGTCTGCACTCTGACAGGGGTGGTGAGTTTTCCTCCGACCTCTTGGCAGCCTACTGTGCGGAGCACGGCATCCGCCAGACGTTCACGCTTCCGGCCTCTCCACAGCAGAACGGGGTTGCTGAGCGCCGCATTGGCTTAGTCATGGAGGTCGCTCGCACCTCCATGATCCATGCGGCTGCCCCCCATTTCCTGTGGCCGTTTGCAGTCCGGTACGCTGCACATCAGCTCAACCTCTGGCCCCGTGTCTCTGCTCCGGAGACCTCGCCCACACTGCGTTGGACGGGGGAGGTTGGCGATGCGTCGGTGTTACGGGTCTAGGGATGTCGAGCCTTTGTCCGCGATACGTCCGCGGACAAGCTCTCCTCCCGTGCCGTTCCCTGTGTCTTCCTTGGCTTTGTCCCTGATGCGCCTGGCTGGCAGTTTTACCACCCCACCTCGCGCCGTGTCTTCCCCTCTCAGGACGTCACTTTTGACGAGTCGGTGCCATTTTACCGTCTGTTCCCCTACCGCACTGCGCTGCTTCCCCCCCCGCCGCTCTTCCTCACCCCAGATGTCCCTTTGGTAGACCCCCTCCCTCCCAAGGGTCCTGCTCCCTCAGGTGTTTCCCAGGTAGACCCGGTCGAGCCTGTCGAGGTAGCTGTCGACTCTGGTCCTGCGAGGGGTACTGAGACTGAGGTTGCTGAGACTGGGGGTGCTGAGCCAGGGGGTGCTGAGACTGAGGGTGCTGAGACTGGGGGTGCTGGGGGTGCTGAGACTGGGGGT